AATAGCTCGGCTGCATTCAGGGAAAAAATAATTGCCCCCTCCAGTGGTGAAAAGGTAATCTTGATCATACTTGCAAGTGTTAATCAAAATCTGTTTAGTTTAGTGGCTAATGTGCCTGCCTTGTAATTCAAAGGCACTGACCTGAAAGATGATTTAAAGACAACATTTGTTTTTTACTCTGTAACTATCAGATCACTAGATTTTCAACATTACCTTTTCTTTGTCATCCAAAAACTCTACAATTAACAAAAAAAATTGTAATTTTTAATTGAATACAATTAAAAATAGTCTTAATATGCTAGTATTGTTGCAGATATCCAGGGAAGGCCCAGAGTCCTGCAGGGATAGAAGCAGGGACTCACTTGCCCTGGGAAGCAACATATGCAGATGATGCTAGATCCTGGTCTGCACTATAAAGTTAGGTTGACATAAGTCCAATTGTGTTGACCTAGTTATGTGGGTGTCTACACTACAATTGGTCTCCCACCACCATAAGTGGTCTAGTATATTGATGCAGCAATACCCCTCTCCAAGTGACACCAAGTTCCAGTAAACCTACTTAGGTCAACACAGTGTGAGTGCAGATGCTGAATTCTTTGTGTTGACCCTAGCAATCCTCCACCAGTTGTTCCCAAATGCCCGCATCCCTACAACAGTGAGCACTCTCTTTGAACTCCACTACCCGAAGGATCACAGAAAATGGAAACCACCTCTCCCTGCTATCTTAAAAATCCTCATGTGTTTTGAAATGCCTTTTCCTGATTGCCCACCATGGCTAGCACACCTAACAGCTGTTCACCTTTATTGTGTGCACTCAACTGACCTACAAACCATCACAGCTCAAGCCACACACATGGCTACTAAACAAGTTCCTGCCTGGAGCCTTGGATCTCCTTGACCTGTGGGAAGAAAAGGATGTGCCAGCTCAGCTACAGAACTTCCATAGAATAGTGACAGCTTTGAGCAGATTGCACAGGGAACACGGCAAAGGGGCACAGCATGGATCAACAGCTGTGCTGTGGGAAAGCAAAGGAACTGAGCCAGGCATACCACAAAATGAGGGAAGACAACAAGAAACCTGGTGCCAACTCGCAGACCTTCCTTTTTGCAGGCTAAATGCCATCCTTGGCAATGTTCCCATCAGCACCCGACAAATGACCAGATAACTCGGAGGAGCCCAAGATGGAGACATTGCCATGAACAAGACTGGGGTGGATGCAGATTAGTACAAAGTATGCTGTGAGCTGGGAACCAACTGAAAATCTGCAGGATCTAGCCAGCCCTACCAGATGAGCACTGATGAGCCTGCTGACAAATGGGAAGGGAACTTGGGTAGGTTTGTATATGCATTATATCTTGCAATAGTTTTTGGTCTTTTCTTTCCTTCAGACGTCATCTCCTTCACTTCTGCTCTCCTCCCATTTAAAATGGGTCCCCAATTGAGACAAAAGTATCAACTTATCATTACTGATATAATGTTAGAAAATAAACGCTTTACAATTTTATTCTGCAAAGGGCATTCCAGTTATAGGTTCCACAGCAGATCAGTGTCCTGTGCTCAGGTAGAGATACAACTATGCCCGCCAACATGGGGGCAAAGGGGGCAATTGCCCTGGCAATTCAAAGAGGCTCAGGGCTCTGGCTGCTACCACTGCCACAAATTGCCACCAGTGCCCCACGCTGGCTGCCCTCGGCCCCGCCTCTTCCATTCTTGGACCCGCCCCTCCTGGGAGCATGGAACCAAGGCCCCCCACCTTGCCTAGGATCCCGTGGAGGCTGTCGGCTCTGCTGGATACAACAAATCGAGGCAGAGTTGACATCCATTTCTCCTTTCATTGGCTAGGCACAGGGGCCATGGTGAATACTCTATCAGAACACGGAAGTCCCTTTCATCCTCTTAAGAGCTCTTGATCCATTTTCCATGGAGATACTCAGCAATCCTCTCCTGAAGGTCTCTAGCGAGGCAGACTTGTTTCTTCTGCCATAATAGTACACTTTCCCACACCAGTCAGTGAGGAATCTGGCTGGTACCATTGCAGTAAACAGGCTAGCAGCATAAGGGTACAGGCAGCTTCAGAATGCCAGAAGCAGCTGAGTTCTCTGTGCCTTTGGAGAGAGGCATCAGCCAAAAATCATTGCCTGGGAAACAGTGCTGATTTATCCACCATTATTTATCTTAATCTCTACCCAGGGACAGGGGGAAGCTGTACAGATACATGCAACAGAGCACTCTCTTCTCCTGACCAGGCCATATTCACCATGGGTTGAACTGGGCAGTGGTGCTGTAGCATGGCATTTTAGCTTTGGAATGCCCATCAGTATTTCTTATGAAGGGTGTATATGGGAATAATATCAGGGAGTTTGGGCATTTACCTTCCCATTTCATTGTGATTGTCAATATATCCATCTCTCTGGTTTTAGTAACAGCTTCTGCTATGGTGGCCTTATAGGGTGCCCCTTCCACACCCACTGAATGCCTGACTCTGATCACACAGAGAAGGAAGAGGAGTATATGTTCTGCAAGATTCTCCAATTGCCTAGGACTATAATCAAATGACTTGGGGCAGAAGGGTGGAGGACTATCGGAACATGAATGAGGAGAAAGACCAAGAATGGAGAGAGCTTACGTAGGCTGGGTCCCCCAGAATCACTATTGGCATTTTAACATCACCAGTGGTAATGTGCCAGTGAGGAAAGGAAGTCTCTGCTTGCGACTTCTGAAAAGCCCTTAGCTTCTAAATATGTGAGCATCATGAACCTTCTTTGATCCACTACACTGACATATCCATGGAAAAGTATCCCTTTCTGTTGATGGACTCAGTGGTAAGATGGGCTAGTGCCAAAATAGAGATGTGTGCACCATCTATCCTCCCACTGCAGTTCAGGCATCCCCATTATCACAAACCCATCCATTACATCTTGCACATTGTCAAGAGTCACAGTCCAGCATAGTAAGGGATCTTTAATGGCCCTGCACACTGGGATTGTGACTATGGATTGTACAACTCCAAAACAATTGCCCACAGACTGATAGCAATCTAGTGTTGCAAGTTTCTGTGGCGTGATCAACATTTGTTTCTCCACTGTAAGCACAGCTCCCATCTCAATGTCCATGTACTAAAGGGCAGGAGCAAGCTCTGCATGCAACCCTACAAATGTGGCCTTTCACACCCAAAAGTTCTGCAGTCAGTGCTTACCATTCCAAACCTACATTATAATACAATCCACCAATCAATGTTCATGTCACAAGCCCGGAAATGGCACACTACCATGCAGAGCTATTTCATGAATATTAGCAAGCTGTTTCCATCAGCATCCAGTTGTTTTACTCAAACATCACTGCATCATTTTCATTATGAGCCCAATAACAACAATATTCCCTTAAACTGTATGGTGCATCCCGTGTTCCCAATACATTGATAACTGTGCTGAGTAGGGATGTGAACGACTAGTTGACTATCCAATAAGCAAATGCTTATCGGATAGTCAACATGCTAGTCAACAGACAAAGGCAGCAAGGGGGGGGAGAAGAGGAGGAGGTGCTTCAAAGCAGCAGCGCCACATGGAGCCCAGAGCCACACCCCAGGCTCCACATGGCGCTGCCACTTTGAAAAGCCACGTGCAGCCCAGGGCAGCTGGGAGTTAGGGCTGCACGCGGCTTTTCAAAACAGCAGTGCTACATGGAGCCCTGGATCTGCCGCTTTGAAACGCTGCGTGAAGCCCGGGGTCCCCAGCTGGGCCAGGCTGCACATGGCGTTTCAAAGTAGCAGCACCATGTGGAGCCCAGGCTCAGCTGAGGACTCCACCGGTGACCCTGGGCTACATGTAGCACTGCTGCTTTGAAACACCACGTGGAGCCTGGGGTCACTGCTAATTTGAAACGCTGCAGGGAGCATGGGGCCAGCAGGGGGTCTACTTGAGTCCCCCACTAGCCCCATGCTCCCCACAGCACTTTTGCCTTTGAAGTGTAGCAACAGACCTGGGGCTCGTGCTAGACTTCAAAAGCAGAGGCACCCTTATCAACTAATCGAATAGTCGATGCAATTGCATCAACTATTTGATTAGCCAATTAATCAAAATTTTACAACCCTAGTGCTGAGCTCTAGAGACGCCATACTTCTGTCAGTGAGATGTCAGAAACCGAAAAACACTGTGTGGGACTATAGAAGCTTTTGAAACATTACACAAATTATAGAACATGGAAAGTATTATGAGATGCAGAAAACAGCAAATGGGAAGTTGATACCCAGCTCCCAGAAATCCCTGGGCAATTTGCTACTATCCCACAAAGCGCAGCAAAAAAAACCCTAAAGGCATTTTACCAGATGGCAGCATAACACACTGGGATACCTACTTGTGCACCATACTTTGCATCGACACAAACAATATTGGTGAGTATAAGCAGCGCTGATCCAAGCAACCAAGTGTAATTCCATACAAGTGATACACTAACTTCAGCAGCTGTACACCTACGTAGCTCAATTGAATTTTGTTAGATATGGCCCAAGATTGTGCAGTTCACAGCTCTTTAAATAGCCGTGAGCCCGCTAGAAAACTCATAGCTGTTTAAAGAAACATGGTCTTCCTATACAGATTGCTTGGTCGGTTAATAATGAAAGGGACAGGTCACAGAGTGATCTAGGTCTCTCATAAGACGGGCACATTCAAACTACATGATTGCAATATGGTAAGATGCAAGGAAGGAGGTCTGTAGGTCACACTTGCAGGATGGGAACTATATCCTGGAGAGCAGTGACACTGAGGAAGACACTCTGTAAGGAAAGCTCTCCCAGTGATTAGGGCATTAATCTGGGCAGTCCAAGTTCAATTCCCTGGTCAGCCACAAACTTCTTGGGTGACCTCAGGCAAATCACTTGGCCTCTCTGTATTTCAATGCTCCATCTGTACAATGAGGATAATAGCCCAGCTCTACCTCACAGGGTTGTGAGGATGAATCCATTAAACTGCTGTGGGACTTTGTGACATAGCAGTTGACTCACCACTCTGGCGTCTCCTGCTGGTTGTTCTGGGAATTAGCTCCTTTCACCAGTGCACCTTCATCTGATGACGTCTTGCTGCTGTCACTTCTGCTCCAGGACCCGTGTGGTTCTTAGACAACGGTGTCCTTTTCGAGAAACAGGTGAGTCCTGATTGGTTGCTCCTATAAGCCCTCTCGATTGACTGCCTCCTGCGCTCCCATATAACCTTTTTCCTGATAATGGAAACAGACACCCTTTGAAAAAGCCATTTATCAAATGACAGACTTGTTGCTAATGTTTTGAAAATAATAATGAAGGTTATTAGATAGCAGTCAATGGTGTTTTGTGGGGAATGCTTTTTGAAAAGCAGTTGAGAATTGTTGGATATTGTTTTTAGAGACTTTTTGTTTTGTTTGTAATAATGAAATACAAATATGTGATATATATATTTTGTGTGTCATGAACTTTTTGTATTTGTAGTTAAGGTAGGTGTCTCTGTTTACTTTTGGTATTGCTATCCCTTTAGATACATGGGGTTAGCCAATATTCCGGGCCAGATTGTGTCCAGTAGGAGAAACTGATAATGTAGTCAGGTATTTCTTTGATGCAATCCTGTGTATTTACAAAGAATGCACGTTTCCCTGAGCACAATAGGCAACAAACAACAGGATGTTGCTGTGACGGCGCGTTGGGGGTTCCCCGTCTCCTGCACCCCGAAATGGCACAAACAGACTGCACCAGCCGGTGGAGTTGAGGGTGGTTTATTGCTCCTCCAGCACAGCGCAGCACAGATGTAATCTGGTTACAGGAACTGGGGCTAAGAGGCCTCAGTGCCCCCCTTGAGATAGGGGAGTCCCAGCCCCCTCCCCAGCTCCTTATTCCCTGCCTTCCAGCCAGGAACTAACTAACCCTCCACCAGCCCTGCCCCCCAGCCAGGGCAGCATTCCACCTTCCTTTGTTCCTCTCCATGGGGGGTGTCTGGCCACTGGTTCAACAAGTTTGGCATTACCTTGGCCTAGTGAGGCTTTCCCTGCTGGGTCTTGCTCCAGACAGCAGGGGTCACCACATCCCAGCAAGTACCCCCACTACGTCACAGTTGCTTATTTGTTCACAGCTGGAAGTCTCTTTGCAGCCAATATTCTTCCACAAATGTTTCTCTCCTGGCTTTCTCCTTGTGCCATGTTTCTGGCTGCCCCAACCCCAAATTTCACCTAAATAATACTGGGCCCCTGGGCTACGTCTAGACTGGCCCCTTCTCTGGAAGACGCATGCAAAGCAGGCAAGTCAGAATAGGGAAATCCACGGGGGATTTAAATATCCCCCGGGGGATTTAAATAAACATGGCCGCCGCTTTTTTTCCGGCTTGGGGAAAAGCCGGAAAAGAGCGTCTAGACTGGCGCGATCCTCCGGAATAAAGCCCTTTTCCGGAGGATCTCGGCGGGGTCTCTGAGGTGTGGGGGAGGGGTTCTCACAGGGCTGTGGGGGGAAGGGGCGGGGTCTCTGAGGTGTGGGGGAGGGGTTCTCACAGGGCTGTGGGGGGAAGGGGCGGGGTCTCTGAGGTGTGGGGGAGGGGTTCTCACAGGGCTGTGGGGGGAAGGGGCGGGGTCTCTGAGGTGTGGGGGAGGGGTTCTCACAGGGCTGTGGGGGGAAGGGGCGGGGTCTCTGAGGTGTGGGGGAGGGGTTCTCACAGGGCTGTGGGGGGAAGGGGCGGGGTCTCTGAGGTGTGGGGGAGGGGTTCTCACAGGGCTGTGGGGGGAAGGGGCGGGGTCTCTGAGGTGTGGGGGAGGGGTTCTCACAGGGCTGTGGGGGGAAGGGGCGGGGTCTCTGAGGTGTGGGGGAGGGGTTCTCACAGGGCTGTGGGGGGAAGGGGCGGGGTCTCTGAGGTGTGGGGGAGGGGTTCTCACAGGGCTGTGGGGGGAAGGGGCGGGGTCTCTGAGGTGTGGGGGAGGGGTTCTCACAGGGCTGTGGGGGGAAGGGGCGGGGTCTCTGAGGTGTGGGGGAGGGGTTCTCACAGGGCTGTGGGGGGAAGGGGCGGGGTCTCTGAGGTGTGGGGGAGGGGTTCTCACAGGGCTGTGGGGGGAAGGGGCGGGGTCTCTGAGGTGTGGGGGAGGGGTTCTCACAGGGCTGTGGGGGGAAGGGGCGGGGTCTCTGAGGTGTGGGGGAGGGGTTCTCACAGGGCTGTGGGGGGAAGGGGCGGGGTCTCTGAGGTGTGGGGGAGGGGTTCTCACAGGGCTGTGGGGGGAAGGGGCGGGGTCTCTGAGGTGTGGGGGAGGGGTTCTCACAGGGCTGTGGGGGGAAGGGGCGGGGTCTCTGAGGTGTGGGGGAGGGGTTCTCACAGGGCTGTGGGGGGAAGGGGCGGGGTCTCTGAGGTGTGGGGGAGGGGTTCTCACAGGGCTGTGGGGGGAAGGGGCGGGGTCTCTGAGGTGTGGGGGAGGGGTTCTCACAGGGCTGTGGGGGGAAGGGGCGGGGTCTCTGAGGTGTGGGGGAGGGGTTCTCACAGGGCTGTGGGGGGAAGGGGCGGGGTCTCTGAGGTGTGGGGGAGGGGTTCTCACAGGGCTGTGGGGGGAAGGGGCGGGGTCTCTGAGGTGTGGGGGAGGGGTTCTCACAGGGCTGTGGGGGGAAGGGGCGGGGTCTCTGAGGTGTGGGGGAGGGGTTCTCACAGGGCTGTGGGGGGAAGGGGCGGGGTCTCTGAGGTGTGGGGGAGGGGTTCTCACAGGGCTGTGGGGGGAAGGGGCGGGGTCTCTGAGGTGTGGGGGAGGGGTTCTCACAGGGCTGTGGGGGGAAGGGGCGGGGTCTCTGAGGTGTGGGGGAGGGGTTCTCACAGGGCTGTGGGGGGAAGGGGCGGGGTCTCTGAGGTGTGGGGGAGGGGTTCTCACAGGGCTGTGGGGGGAAGGGGCGGGGTCTCTGAGGTGTGGGGGAGGGGTTCTCACAGGGCTGTGGGGGGAAGGGGCGGGGTCTCTGAGGTGTGGGGGAGGGGTTCTCACAGGGCTGTGGGGGGAAGGGGCGGGGTCTCTGAGGTGTGGGGGAGGGGTTCTCACAGGGCTGTGGGGGGAAGGGGCGGGGTCTCTGAGGTGTGGGGGAGGGGTTCTCACAGGGCTGTGGGGGGAAGGGGCGGGGTCTCTGAGGTGTGGGGGAGGGGTTCTCACAGGGCTGTGGGGGGAAGGGGCGGGGTCTCTGAGGTGTGGGGGAGGGGTTCTCACAGGGCTGTGGGGGGAAGGGGCGGGGTCTCTGAGGTGTGGGGGAGGGGTTCTCACAGGGCTGTGGGGGGAAGGGGCGGGGTCTCTGAGGTGTGGGGGAGGGGTTCTCACAGGGCTGTGGGGGGAAGGGGCGGGGTCTCTGAGGTGTGGGGGAGGGGTTCTCACAGGGCTGTGGGGGGAAGGGGCGGGGTCTCTGAGGTGTGGGGGAGGGGTTCTCACAGGGCTGTGGGGGGAAGGGGCGGGGTCTCTGAGGTGTGGGGGAGGGGTTCTCACAGGGCTGTGGGGGGAAGGGGCGGGGTCTCTGAGGTGTGGGGGAGGGGTTCTCACAGGGCTGTGGGGGGAAGGGGCGGGGTCTCTGAGGTGTGGGGGAGGGGTTCTCACAGGGCTGTGGGGGGAAGGGGCGGGGTCTCTGAGGTGTGGGGGAGGGGTTCTCACAGGGCTGTGGGGGGAAGGGGCGGGGTCTCTGAGGTGTGGGGGAGGGGTTCTCACAGGGCTGTGGGGGGAAGGGGCGGGGTCTCTGAGGTGTGGGGGAGGGGTTCTCACAGGGCTGTGGGGGGAAGGGGCGGGGTCTCTGAGGTGTGGGGGAGGGGTTCTCACAGGGCTGTGGGGGGAAGGGGCGGGGTCTCTGAGGTGTGGGGGAGGGGTTCTCACAGGGCTGTGGGGGGAAGGGGCGGGGTCTCTGAGGTGTGGGGGAGGGGTTCTCACAGGGCTGTGGGGGGAAGGGGCGGGGTCTCTGAGGTGTGGGGGAGGGGTTCTCACAGGGCTGTGGGGGGAAGGGGCGGGGTCTCTGAGGTGTGGGGGAGGGGTTCTCACAGGGCTGTGGGGGGAAGGGGCGGGGTCTCTGAGGTGTGGGGGAGGGGTTCTCACAGGGCTGTGGGGGGAAGGGGCGGGGTCTCTGAGGTGTGGGGGAGGGGTTCTCACAGGGCTGTGGGGGGAAGGGGCGGGGTCTCTGAGGTGTGGGGGAGGGGTTCTCACAGGGCTGTGGGGGGAAGGGGCGGGGTCTCTGAGGTGTGGGGGAGGGGTTCTCACAGGGCTGTGGGGGGAAGGGGCGGGGTCTCTGAGGTGTGGGGGAGGGGTTCTCACAGGGCTGTGGGGGGAAGGGGCGGGGTCTCTGAGGTGTGGGGGAGGGGTTCTCACAGGGCTGTGGGGGGAAGGGGCGGGGTCTCTGAGGTGTGGGGGAGGGGTTCTCACAGGGCTGTGGGGGGAAGGGGCGGGGTCTCTGAGGTGTGGGGGAGGGGTTCTCACAGGGCTGTGGGGGGAAGGGGCGGGGTCTCTGAGGTGTGGGGGAGGGGTTCTCACAGGGCTGTGGGGGGAAGGGGCGGGGTCTCTGAGGTGTGGGGGAGGGGTTCTCACAGGGCTGTGGGGGGAAGGGGCGGGGTCTCTGAGGTGTGGGGGAGGGGTTCTCACAGGGCTGTGGGGGGAAGGGGCGGGGTCTCTGAGGTGTGGGGGAGGGGTTCTCACAGGGCTGTGGGGGGAAGGGGCGGGGTCTCTGAGGTGTGGGGGAGGGGTTCTCACAGGGCTGTGGGGGGAAGGGGCGGGGTCTCTGAGGTGTGGGGGAGGGGTTCTCACAGGGCTGTGGGGGGAAGGGGCGGGGTCTCTGAGGTGTGGGGGAGGGGTTCTCACAGGGCTGTGGGGGGAAGGGGCGGGGTCTCTGAGGTGTGGGGGAGGGGTTCTCACAGGGCTGTGGGGGGAAGGGGCGGGGTCTCTGAGGTGTGGGGGAGGGGTTCTCACAGGGCTGTGGGGGGAAGGGGCGGGGTCTCTGAGGTGTGGGGGAGGGGTTCTCACAGGGCTGTGGGGGGAAGGGGCGGGGTCTCTGAGGTGTGGGGGAGGGGTTCTCACAGGGCTGTGGGGGGAAGGGGCGGGGTCTCTGAGGTGTGGGGGAGGGGTTCTCACAGGGCTGTGGGGGGAAGGGGCGGGGTCTCTGAGGTGTGGGGGAGGGGTTCTCACAGGGCTGTGGGGGGAAGGGGCGGGGTCTCTGAGGTGTGGGGGAGGGGTTCTCACAGGGCTGTGGGGGGAAGGGGCGGGGTCTCTGAGGTGTGGGGGAGGGGTTCTCACAGGGCTGTGGGGGGAAGGGGCGGGGTCTCTGAGGTGTGGGGGAGGGGTTCTCACAGGGCTGTGGGGGGAAGGGGCGGGGTCTCTGAGGTGTGGGGGAGGGGTTCTCACAGGGCTGTGGGGGGAAGGGGCGGGGTCTCTGAGGTGTGGGGGAGGGGTTCTCACAGGGCTGTGGGGGGAAGGGGCGGGGTCTCTGAGGTGTGGGGGAGGGGTTCTCACAGGGCTGTGGGGGGAAGGGGCGGGGTCTCTGAGGTGTGGGGGAGGGGTTCTCACAGGGCTGTGGGGGGAAGGGGCGGGGTCTCTGAGGTGTGGGGGAGGGGTTCTCACAGGGCTGTGGGGGGAAGGGGCGGGGTCTCTGAGGTGTGGGGGAGGGGTTCTCACAGGGCTGTGGGGGGAAGGGGCGGGGTCTCTGAGGTGTGGGGGAGGGGTTCTCACAGGGCTGTGGGGGGAAGGGGCGGGGTCTCTGAGGTGTGGGGGAGGGGTTCTCACAGGGCTGTGGGGGGAAGGGGCGGGGTCTCTGAGGTGTGGGGGAGGGGTTCTCACAGGGCTGTGGGGGGAAGGGGCGGGGTCTCTGAGGTGTGGGGGAGGGGTTCTCACAGGGCTGTGGGGGGAAGGGGCGGGGTCTCTGAGGTGTGGGGGAGGGGTTCTCACAGGGCTGTGGGGGGAAGGGGCGGGGTCTCTGAGGTGTGGGGGAGGGGTTCTCACAGGGCTGTGGGGGGAAGGGGCGGGGTCTCTGAGGTGTGGGGGAGGGGTTCTCACAGGGCTGTGGGGGGAAGGGGCGGGGTCTCTGAGGTGTGGGGGAGGGGTTCTCACAGGGCTGTGGGGGGAAGGGGCGGGGTCTCTGAGGTGTGGGGGAGGGGTTCTCACAGGGCTGTGGGGGGAAGGGGCGGGGTCTCTGAGGTGTGGGGGAGGGGTTCTCACAGGGCTGTGGGGGGAAGGGGCGGGGTCTCTGAGGTGTGGGGGAGGGGTTCTCACAGGGCTGTGGGGGGAAGGGGCGGGGTCTCTGAGGTGTGGGGGAGGGGTTCTCACAGGGCTGTGGGGGGAAGGGGCGGGGTCTCTGAGGTGTGGGGGAGGGGTTCTCACAGGGCTGTGGGGGGAAGGGGCGGGGTCTCTGAGGTGTGGGGGAGGGGTTCTCACAGGGCTGTGGGGGGAAGGGGCGGGGTCTCTGAGGTGTGGGGGAGGGGTTCTCACAGGGCTGTGGGGGGAAGGGGCGGGGTCTCTGAGGTGTGGGGGAGGGGTTCTCACAGGGCTGTGGGGGGAAGGGGCGGGGTCTCTGAGGTGTGGGGGAGGGGTTCTCACAGGGCTGTGGGGGGAAGGGGCGGGGTCTCTGAGGTGTGGGGGAGGGGTTCTCACAGGGCTGTGGGGGGAAGGGGCGGGGTCTCTGAGGTGTGGGGGAGGGGTTCTCACAGGGCTGTGGGGGGAAGGGGCGGGGTCTCTGAGGTGTGGGGGAGGGGTTCTCACAGGGCTGTGGGGGGAAGGGGCGGGGTCTCTGAGGTGTGGGGGAGGGGTTCTCACAGGGCTGTGGGGGGAAGGGGCGGGGTCTCTGAGGTGTGGGGGAGGGGTTCTCACAGGGCTGTGGGGGGAAGGGGCGGGGTCTCTGAGGTGTGGGGGAGGGGTTCTCACAGGGCTGTGGGGGGAAGGGGCGGGGTCTCTGAGGTGTGGGGGAGGGGTTCTCACAGGGCTGTGGGGGGAAGGGGCGGGGTCTCTGAGGTGTGGGGGAGGGGTTCTCACAGGGCTGTGGGGGGAAGGGGCGGGGTCTCTGAGGTGTGGGGGAGGGGTTCTCACAGGGCTGTGGGGGGAAGGGGCGGGGTCTCTGAGGTGTGGGGGAGGGGTTCTCACAGGGCTGTGGGGGGAAGGGGCGGGGTCTCTGAGGTGTGGGGGAGGGGTTCTCACAGGGCTGTGGGGGGAAGGGGCGGGGTCTCTGAGGTGTGGGGGAGGGGTTCTCACAGGGCTGTGGGGGGAAGGGGCGGGGTCTCTGAGGTGTGGGGGAGGGGTTCTCACAGGGCTGTGGGGGGAAGGGGCGGGGTCTCTGAGGTGTGGGGGAGGGGTTCTCACAGGGCTGTGGGGGGAAGGGGCGGGGTCTCTGAGGTGTGGGGGAGGGGTTCTCACAGGGCTGTGGGGGGAAGGGGCGGGGTCTCCCGCCCCGTCTGCCCTCTGCGATCTGGCTCCTGCAGCCCGGCCCGGCCCGAAACAGCCTCCCGCAGAGCCCGGGCCCGCCGTCAGTTGCGCGCGCCAGGCACAGAGCGGCCGCCAGGGACCTCCGCTTTTCCTAGTGCCTCCTCTTCCCCCTCGGCCCCGGCCCCTCTCCCGAAACCGGCTTCTTCCTCCGGAATGAGGAGTGCCCCAGACCCTCCGCGCTTTCCATTGTCCTGCGGAACGCACCTGTAGCGGGGACCTCTCTCAAGCGGGGTCAGGAAAAGCCTTTTTCTGACACAACTCGGTAGTGTAGACAGATCTGGAGTTGTAAATGGGAAAGATGCAGTAAAAATGATCATCTTGTGATCAAGCCTTGGCGAAACTTATTCTACAAGCCTTTCTTACTCTAGTTCCCATTTGTGGTATTTACAATATTTTTAATGTAGCATTATCTTTTTACTTGGATCACTGAATAAAACACCAGTTTACAGCACAATTTACACTAATTTCTTAGTTTCACCTTGTATTAAAGCATGGGTGGGGAACCTTTTTTGGGTTGGGGTTGCTGACCCACAGAAAAATCAGTTCTCACAAGTGAGAAACAAAAAAGAAAAACCAAACCCTCACTGATGTGGTCCCTCGCTGAGGAGGAGAAAAAGACTCCCCACATTGCCTACACACACCAGAGCCTAGGGAGGCCCAGGCTAGTAGATTGTGTGCTCTAGCCCCATGGGGAACACTGGGAGCAGGGGGTGTTGAAATACCAGCGTGCACTCCCCAATGCAGGGGCGGGGGGAAAGCTCTGAGCTTCAGGGACCGGATCCAGGTACAGGCCTTAGCTTCCCCACCCCTGTATTAAATCTTTTGCACTCTGGATCCCACGTATAGAAAAGGGCTTTATTAGATATCTGCTTTCTAAAACACACCTCTCTTGTCTCTTTTAGTTTAGGTAAACGCATGCATCCTATAAACTCTCTACCCATGCTTCACAAGCATTAGGTATAGCTAAACATTAGATTTTGTCGTGGTTATTTTTAGTAAAACTCAGGGACTGGTCACGGGCAATAAACAAAACTTCAAAGACCTTTTACTAAAAATAATGGTGACAAATTGGAGCAACAGGGATGGAGAGCTCAAGCTCTGCTGAAGGAGGGAAGTCCAGCAACTGCTACCCAGGGTGTCTCAAAGCTGCAGGGACTTCCTGCCACCTATGGTGGCTCTGTGCCTCAGGGCTGATGGCTTGGAATTCTGGGGTCCCCTCAGCAGCTGGGAACTACCAGGCAGGGGAGAGGAGGGCTGAAGCAGAAAATATCAGGTCTCTGGACATCACAGGATTTGTGACCTCCATGACACAGCTATAACTAAGGCTAAAATTTTCAAGAATGGTCTCCCACCAAGTTTGGTTCCTTTGTAACTTTCCTTGCTCTGCAGTAACATTGTGCGACCAGTAGATGGGTATATTTTTTCCTTTGTACCACAAATGAATTACCTTCAGTTGTTAGAAACCTGCCCTTGGAGTTGAATGATTTTCCCACTACCCTGTATGTCCTAGTCTCGTAGCTCTAGAGTAGTACCAACAATATATTTTGAAAGCATGAATGTTGCATGTGAAGGTCACATTTTGTAAATTAATTTTGCAAATAATTTTGCATTTATATTACTACGTGCAATTCTTGATTCCTTAAATATGCTGACTGCTCTTGTTTGTCTTTTCAGGAAGTGCTAAAGTTAAAGCACCTCCAAAGATAATTGATACGGGGGGAGGGTTCTTTCTGGAAGAAGAGGAGGAGGAGGAACACAAGATTGAGAAAATTGTGCATCAGCCAGGTAAAACCTGATTAATTTTGCAGAAAATGGCTGTACTGGCCACTTATAGTTACTATGAATACACTATAACTAGGAATAAGCTGCTCCCTTTTGTGGTACACTAGCTGAATGGGAATTAGGAGAAGTCAGCAATAGCTTCAGAGAAGCCTGAAATACATTTGTGTAAAAAATATGGCTTATTATATATCCTTATCCACAGAAAGCTATTTGTTGATAATGAAAAAGGTCATGTATTTTTCAATAACTAACCAGATTCTTAATGTAAGATAAGTGACTGTCTGAAGAGGGAAGGCAAGGACCCTAAGGAATAGAACAGGCACAATCTACACTTTTCTGGGGGCCAACAATTTTTATCCAGTATATTCTGTTTCTACATTCTCTCGAAACCAATACCGATGCATCAGTCTTTTAGCTGTATAAAAGATGTGAACACACTGGACCACATCCTTAACTTGTGTAAATCAACATCTCCATTGATTTAATTGATTTGGCTCATTATTTAATTAAGAAATATACTTGAGACCAATACCCAACATTAGACAGTCTTATTAATATGGTACCAAAAAAAAAGTTCTATATGATAGCAGTCTCCAGAAAACAGACTTGTGCAGCAATGTTACATTCTACTTATGGAGGTGTGCTCTCCAAAATGACACCTCTGAAGCAATCTTTTTATACCCTAAATTGTTTTAGTAAAAGGTATTATATACATTATTTAAAACTGGATTTAATTAACTAGCTTTTTACCTTGTTTGTTTCTGGTACCATGGGGGTAGCCCTCTATCTTTTGTTCTGAACGTATGCATTAGAGGTACTAAGGAGCATAAAGACACATCTTAGGGTTGTGTGGGTAACTCCTTTCCTGCTGCTATGTACAGGTACTGCTAGTTTTCCTATCTACTCAAGCCAGGGCTTACTTAGCTAGTGCATAGTATTATGGGATACTCACATAATACCATCCTTTCATGGACTGAGAATTGGTTAAAAGACAGGAAACAAAGGGTAGGAATAAATGGTAAATTTTCAGAATGGAGAGGGGTAACTAATGGTGTTCCCCAAGGGCCAGTCCTAGGACCAATCCTATTCAACTTATTCATAAATGATCTAGAGAAAGGGGTAAACAGTGAGGTGGCAAAGTTTGCAGATGATACTAAACTGCTCAAGGTAGTTAAGACCAAAGCAGACTGTGAAGAATTTCAAAAAGATCTCCCCAAACTGAGTGATTGGACAACAAAATGGCAAATGACATTTAATGTGGATAAATGTAAAGTAATGCACATTGGAAAAAATAACCCCAACTATACATATAATAAGATGGGGGCTAATTTAGCTACAACTAATCAGGAAAGATCGCAGTGTGCAGCGGCAGTCAAAAAAGCAAACAGGATGTTAGGAATCATTAAAAAAGGGATAGAGAATAAGAAAGAGTATCTTATTGCCCTTATACGATTCCATGGTACACCCACATCTTGAATATTGTGCACAGATGTGGTCATCTCATCTCAAAAAAGATATACTGGCATTAGAAAAGGTTCAGAGAAGGGCAACTAAAACGATTAGGGGTTTGGAAAAAGGTCCCATATGAGGAGAGATTAAAGAGACTGGGACTTTTCAGCTTGGAAAAGAGGAGACTAAGGGGGGATATGATAGAGGTCTATAAAATCATGAGTGGCGTGGAGAAAGTGAATAAAGAAAAGTTATTTACTTGTTCCCATAATATAAGAACTAGGGGCCACCAAATGAAACTAATGGGCAGCAGGTTTAAAACAAATAAAAGGAAGTTCTTCACACAGCGCATAGTCAACCTGTGGAACTCCTTCCCTAAGGAAGTTGAAGGCTAGGACTATAACAGAGTTTAAAAGAGAACTAGATAACCTCCATAAATGGCCATTAGCCAGTACGGGTAAGGAATGGTGTCCCCAGCCTCTGTTTGTCAGAAGGTGGAGATGGATGGCAGGAGAAAGATCGCTGGATCATTACCTGTTCGATTCACTGCCTCTGGGACACCTGGCATTGGCCATTGTCGGCAGACAGGGTACTGGGCTGGATGGACCTTTGGTCTGACCCAGTACGGCCGTTCTTATGTATCATGATTATGGTATTGGCCAGTTTAGATAATATCTTGTTACAGACATACATATATAGAGTGCAGATAATACATAGTATTAATTATATGTATATGCTAGCTAGCATATATTAATCAAATTATAGCAGCTCAGGCTCAGATCCATGGTGTTCAGTATTACCATTATGGAAGTTGATACTTGGGGGGTGCTTGTTGTGGAGTGAAGTCAGCATTGTGTCCCATTATACAGTTAACAGCATTCCTTGTCAGCCACATAAAGGTGCTGTCTCAGGAATGATGGATTCAGGCATCAGAAAGTAGCAGGAGCAATAGGGAAGGGCCAACTCACCTGGTAGGCTATCTGGGAATGAAACTAAGGGAATGGGCAACAAAATGGCAACTGAAAGTTCTGGAGGTGGGTGACAGGAGAGGGATCACATGAGGATTACCTGTTGTGTTCCCTCCTTCTGGGCATCTGGCATTGGCCGCTGTCGGCAGACAGGACACTGGGCTGGGTGGACCTTTGGTCTGACCCAGTGTGGCCGTTCTGATGTTCTAAGGCAAAAGCGAAGAAGGGGGGGTGGATGCGGTTTTCTTGCTTCCAGGTTGTATCATTTTCCTACACTTCTCTGGGGAGGATCCCATGCATGTCCTCCAGCCCTACCTGCATTTTCTCCCTCCCCAAGTCTTAATTAAAACTCCAGTGAAACCAGCTTCTTACTCTGTTCTGAATCAGTTGCAGGGCAAGTCATCACCTACAGGGCTTTGCCACTGAATCTCAGCTGTCAGGCATGCTGCCCCAGAGGCTCCTATATTAAAACTAGATTAACCTGGCATTCCCCAGGTCTTAACTCAGATCATTTTTGTTTTTCTTCATTTAAATGATTGTTCTGGGTAGGGATGTAAAGTATAACCATTTAAACAGTTAAGCAGTAAGCCTGGGCTTATTGGTTAATGTTCACAGTTACATGCAGACTCCCGCCCTGCACTGTGGGTGCATATAACCATGTAACTGCTGAGATTCAGTGGTTACACAATTACCTGCTTTTTAACAGCCCTGGTTCTGGGGTGGGGCTGGCAATGAGAGGTTCACTACACAGGCTGCCCCAGGGGAAGAGGAGGAGAGCCCTAGTGCTCTCTGACCAGGTGAGAAATGCCTGTCCACGGTCAGTGCAGCAGCAGTGGGCATAGCCAGGGGAGGGGTGCAGAGACAGACAGACAGACTTTCTGAAATACATAGTAGATAGCCATCCCTTTCTCCACCTCTGCCGGCCCAATAGGGTCATCTCTGACCCCTTGCTGCTTCCTATATACTGTACAATGACTAACTGTCCCTCCTACCAGATCCCTTCCTTTTTATTTTATAAGAAACAATCAGTCAAATTCCAGGCACATCCTATTGTCCTGGCACAACCAAACCCTGATCTTGCTTTTAGTTATGAAGGGGAAGCTGCCTACCAAATTTGCTCTTACCATTTGGGAGTTCTTGAACAAAAAGACTAATGGATGGATGGGACAAATAGACACACGTTTCTAAAATATATAGAGACTAGACGACTTACCCGGCGCTGCATAGGTCCTTCAGGACAAGAGGTTGGGGGCGTAGGGAGTGCATGAGTCAGGGCAGTGGGGGGTTCAAGAGAGGGGTGGAAGTGCTGCTGGCTTCCCACCAGGGTCCACCTGAGGTGGGGGAGGGCCAAGCAATCTGCCCAATGGCTTGTCCCTGGGAGGAGGGAGAGCCATGCTGCCCACCTAGCTGCTTCTCCCCAAAACCGGCTCAGGGTGGCAGGGGCCGTGCAGCCCAGCCAGCAGCTGCTCCGTGGGGCTGGCCCAGGATGGTGGGGATCATGCTGCTGGCCAGAGGCTCTTTCTAGGGTTGGGGTGCTTGCTGCCCCCCCGGTCACTTGTGAATATAACTGTCCTTGCTATCACATCCCTACCTTTCTGTTTGATGCAAAACAGTCACTTTCCACATACATCCCATTGTCCTGGCACAACCATGCCCGTAACTTGCTTTAATAAGTTACGATAAGAGGAAGCTGCATACAAAATTTGGTGGTCCTGGCTCTTGCCTTTAGGAAGAGTTCTTGAACACAGGGACACTCAGACAGATGCACAAACTCTCTCCAATATATAGTAGATTTCAGTACATGGGCCAAGGCATCTATACTTCACCATTGCTATTCAACCTCTGATAACTTCAGTGTAGCATTGTTCTAAGAAAAACAGCTTTATGCTGTGACGCATTAGTGGTAGTGAAGGTTAATAATGACACATCCTAATTCTAGAACTACATTTTGAGAGACGTTAGTTTCCAATATAAAATACAAATTGGAATAACATTTAATTTTTGCTCTTTTAAGTTGGCCATAGATCTGAACCTGTAATTGGAAGGGTTTGAAAGTCAGTTCTAGGATATTACAACAATCTAAAATGTAAAGTTCCTCGGTTGGCCTGAAGCAAATAGAACTGTACTGACAGTATGGTTAACTTTATATTCTTCCATTCTAACCTGGTGCTGTTTTAAGGGAACACTTCCCAATAGCTGCAGCAATCTAAACCAGAACCCCTTCTTGCAAGCATGCACACATGCATGCACTTTTCAGAAGTATTCTTGGGATCTATTACTTGTTTTGAAAGATAAGATGGCTACAGTGGGACTCTGAACAGACCAATCATAGCCTTTGTACTACAGAATTTTAGAGAATTCTTCAGAAGGGGGAGAACATGAATCGTTCATATTACATGTGATAAACCATATTGTAAATTAATATTAAGCTAGAGTGAGATCAACCCCAAATACTTCACCCAACTAAAATTATTTGTTCCCTTCCACTAGGACCTGTATTAGAATTTGACTACCTTATTTGTGAAGAATGTGGCAAAGAGTTCATGGACTCATACCTCATGCAGCACTTTGATTGGGCAACATGTGATAACTGCAGGTATTTTAAATAAGGGGGGGGGACTGGTAAATTTAACTTCAGTATTGTTTTACTCAATCCAAATTTGATTTTAATGATTTATACAGTTCTCTTGTAAAATATTTACATTAAAGAGCTACCAGAGGAATGGTTTTGAATAAAATTGTCATTAGGAAAATGATGTGCAGAGTATTGAATAAATGTGTGTTTTACACAGTGGAAAAACAAAAGAATCACAATCTCTCTCACATATGCCTTGTAGTGTGAGGTGCTAAATAATACATAGTTATTAGAAATGTGTCTTTTTACAGCATTCATACTACATTGTTTAAATATGGTAATGAAGATTATTACTCCATCAATTATATGTGTTCTAAGCAATAAAATTTGTAAGTCACAGATCAGTCACATAAGGATCTGTTTAAATACTATTGTGGTAGTTCAGCTATTGAAGTAGTCTAACCAAGACTTCAATAGAGCTGCTGTAAGTTGGAGCAGACGTGAGATTCAGATGGTCAACTGATTTAGTCCTAAGTGTATGTCCTTTAGAAGTTGAGGATTGAATGCACCCTTTTTATTGGATCCTGTAGCCATCACTTAATTGAATCTGACGTTTTCTCCTCCACTGACAAATGGCATTTTAAAACAATTTCAGTATATCTATGTGCTTGTATCAAATATGGGAATATTGTATCTCCCTGGTAAGGATTTAACTTAGGCATATGATAAAGTGATTCAGATGATACTTTGGATCAAGACAGGTGAAATAAATGTTTCAGAATCTCCCTAGGACTTTGTGTGACCAGAATGTTCAATTTGTCTCATTATCCAATAAAAATTAACTTGTATGTAACCTTTTGCTTTAATTTTATTATTCCTTGTGAATGCCAAATATCTTGCAGGTGGAAACTTTTGTCTGTATAATTTGTATCAAACAATGAAGATTTGAAAATATGGTATCAAATTATCCCCTGGTAGAAAAACCTGTGGGAAGAGAATCTCAGGAAGAAACTTTGAGGTGATGCTGGTAGGAGCTCATTCCTCCCTCCACCTCCAAAAAGAAGAGGGGTTTCTAAACTGATATTGGAGTTCAGGATGACTACTTACATGCTAAGTTTGCAAGATAATGGTTCACATTACAATAGAAGGTGCACTGTACAGTGCATAATGGGGATTTGATACTAAGCTGTTACATAATGCTTTTCAGCTGTCTTTTTTTTAAATCTGTTTCAGAGATGTTGAAGGTAAGCATAAGCTTATAACAAGGACTGAGGCAAAGCAAGAGTACCTTCTTAAAGATTGTGACCTAGATAAGAGAGAACCAATGCTCAGATTTATTTTGAAGAAAAACCCTCATAATTCACAGTGGGGTGACATGAAACTTTACTTAAAATTACAGGTATGGAAATGATTGTAAATTTTTCAAAATGTTTTTTCCCCCCATGTTCATGGCATTACCATCCATAGTTTAATCATTATGGTACTGAACCCTGACTCTCTACCATTTAACAAAATGAAGTCAGTTGAACAGTACATGCAATAGAATTTGTCACCCCTAAAATAAAGGGGGAAAGGTTAAGGTTCTCCCATAGATTAAGGAAGTTGTTTGGTAATAACCAAACTGACTGTTGTGGAGGAAAACTTTTTTTTACCGATGCAGAATCTGTATGATTTGCTCTGAGTTCTCTCTTCCACATTTAAGAATATTAAGGCATGAATTATATTTCCAAGGAAACTAAAGACTTGATTGATCTACTAAATCATAGTTGAAAGCCTGACTTAATTTGGTCTTATAAAATTACATTTTGAATTGTATTGTACTGAGGTTCTCCAATATGTTTTAGAACAGTTTTCTTCTAAGATCTACATGTCTTTAAGCAACTTGATATTTTTCAGGTAGGTTACAAATGTAGAAATATTGGAGAACCTCAGTACAATACAATTCAAAATGTAATTTTATAAGACCAAATTAAGTCAGGCTTTCAACTCTGATTATTTAGCAGATCAATCAAGTCTTTGGTTTCCTTGGAAATATTCATGCCTTAATATTCTTAAATGTGGAAGAGAACACAGTTAGTTGAATAAGGCCCTTAATTAGTAGGTGAAACTAGTTTTCTATGAATGAAAATCCTTTTCAAACAAGATGACTTGTCTTTTGTTTTATAAGGAAGCCTTTTTATTGTGTGGGAGAGTCAGAGAGTGCTCCACTCATTGCAATTCTGGGATTAATTCTACTGGGTTCAGCAACCCCTAGCCAGTCTTCCACCAATGTGGCTCTCTTCCTGCTCAAGGAGTCACAGTTTAGCTGCTTCATGACTCAGCCCCACAGTCAGGTCACACTCTGATTTTCCCCTTCTGCTCTGCAGTCAGCATGCCCACCATGCACTCTCTCTCTGTGACTCAGGCAGTCTCCCCCTTCTCTGCTTGTAGCAGTACCATTCGGCAGCAGAGAGGGAAGGGAATCCAGGCCCCTACAAACAGGCAGGGGCTGAGTTTTCACTAATTCTAAGCTTTGTTCCCTAAACTGCTTCCTATGATGCTTCCTTAAATGTTTTCTCCAGCCTTCAAGGTCAGACTACTCTTTCTTAGGTTTACCCAATAACTCCTTCCTCATGGATTACTGTCCCCCTTACCTCAAAGAGAGAGGCTGCAGGGTAACTCCTTGTTGCCAGCCTCCTTGCTTCGTAGGTGAGCTTCCTTTGAATTAGCCAACTCCACAGTCTAGCCTCCTGTGTTTGCAGCTGAATTGAATGATTGGGCCCACTTGGCCTAATTCAGCTCTTTCAGGCCTTGTGTGGGGTGTGCACCCAATCAGAGGGGCCACAGGCAATGAGGCAGCTAGCTAGGTGGCCCTTTTGAGTGCTGAGATGTGTGCCCACTCACAGCTAAAAGCCCCATCCCAGCCTAGGGAGGAGTTACTGAACCCAGAACTCAATCAAGCTCAGGGACAGCAAAAGCAGGAACAGCTGTGGGGGTCAGAGGGTCAAAACTGTGGAACTGAAAGACACCAACTAAAGATCCCACACCACACCCTCTGCTCCTCAAAAACAGAGTCCTGTGGCACCTTAAAGATTAACAGATTTATTTGGGCATAAGCTTTCTTGGGTAAAACCCACTTCAACAGAAAGCTTGTGCCCAAATAAATCTGTTAGTCTTTAAGGTGCCATGGGACTTCTTGTTATTGCTGAAACAGACTAACACAGCTACCCCTCTGAGACTTGCTCCTTAAAGACATTGAGGGAGCCAGTGGATGTGCCCAAAGAAACTCCGCCCAGATATGTGAACAGATAAAAACAAAAAGCAGGCCCCACAGTTGTAGGACCCCTCTCAGCCAGCTTCTCACTGGGGAATGTTGGTGGGATATGGCAATAAACCAGGTGAAGGAGAATTTTCTTTTAAATTAGAGCAACTCATTCATTACTTCAGGGTAAAAAGCCATATACTTGTGTTCGGTCCCATAGGTAATAAAGCGTTCACTTGAAGTTTGGGGTAGTGAAGAAGCATTGCAAGAAGCAAGAGAAACCCGTCAAGATAATAGAGAAAAGATGAAACAGAAAAAGTTTGATAAAAAAGTTAAAGGTAAATGGTTAGAATTTAAACTAACTTTAATGTTTTTTATACGCCATCAAAAAAAGCTGTTATCAAATGAACACTGTAAATAACTTTTTACAACAGCTACTGCTAGAATAGTGTCTGTTCATATTTATTTCCACATCTAGTAACGTAGAGGGAAACTGATGCTTTAATATGACCAAATAATAGAAATATGGACACAACTTTGGTAATTCAGTACCACTGTTGTCTTTATGTTCCCTGATGTCCCCCCCCCATCAAAATTATCTAATATATATTTTAGAGAGTTTGTGAATCTGTCTGTGTGTTTTTGTCTGTCTGTCCATCTGCGAGTTCATTTGATCAAGAACTCTTCCTAAATAGTAGGAGCTACAACCACCAAAATCAGTATACAGCTTCTTGTTGTAACTTTAAACATAAGGGTTTAGGTATACCTGGAATAGGATTGCTTCCTGCAATCACTAGACAGGTGAAATGGGATGTCTGGGTGTGCCCCTTCCTTCCCTCCCCCCATCCATCCAGGACAGTCCCAGCCTCAAGCATCTTTAGAAAGGGCAGGGGGAAGGGCTGAAGCCCCCCCAGATTTGTATCAGGACTTTTTTTCCCCTTCATCAGGCAGTGAGGGGAAAGTACAGTTTTCTGCATTCCTCACTGGCTGGGAGCACAGGGGGAAGACTGGCTGTGCTCTTTGGTCTCACTTTCCCCCACCCCCAGAGCCCCCCAGCCCCAGGTAAACATGCTAGTTTAGCAGAGTTGCCTATCCAAATAATTTTTTCCTGACTTGGCTTGAATGAGAACACGCATTTTCTGCAGGAGCCTAATTTTTCCATTATTTATAATGCATGCAACAATATCAGTGGGAATTGACTGTTTATGAAAGCCGAATTTAATCTATAGACTACAACATTCCTGACTTTCCTTGTATTTTAGAGCATTCAGTTCTGCAGTTTAGTCAATTGAATGGTCTTCTAGGTAAATAAATTGAATACCTTGCAGTTTAATCTCATGAGCAAAGACGTTAATAACAGAGATCCAGTTTGTAAATGAGGCCAGAGATGTTGGCTTAACTGTATTATATTTAATAAGAGATTATACTGGTGCTGCATGGGGTTTCCATTACAGTGTGTCTAATTCCGAGACTTTTTGCAGAAGTTCTGCAATGAAGGGGCATTATAGGTCAGGACTGAAGTGTGAGAAGGAATTCTACAAAATTACTCCTTTTATCTTCCATTTACCAACTTAAGTCATTTCAATAATAAATTTTATAGGTTGGTAATGAGGCCACAAATACTTATGACCAAGTCTGACACATGAGATCACATCTTGGTTTTGTAAATCAAAAAAAAGTAAAAATAAACTGGAAGGTTGGCAGTTTTGAGGATTCATATGATCAATCTTACATAATCTTGCCTTTGTGGTCATCATAAAACCCCCACACAACCTCAGTAATAAATTTGGAAGAATGACTAACCCGAATGCTCTTTCAGAGCTGTTGCAGTCTCTCTCCATACAAGTAGCCCCTATCGTTTCAATGGTTAATACGTGCATGGGTAAAGCAATCAGAATTTGGCTTTCAAATAAAGTAGTAACATGAGTCTGCCTAAACACTGAGGTTCTTGCTTTTCTCACAAAGGTGTTTGTCTTTAGTGCTGTCATGTTTAGACTTTCTAAAGGAATTTGGTTTACATTTTTCATCAGAGCTCCGTCGAGCTGTTAGGAGCAGTGTGTGGAAAAAAGAAACAAGTGCCCACCAACATGAGTATGGACCAGAAGAAAACATTGAAGAAGATATGTACAAAAAAACATGTACTATATGTGGCCATGAATTAACATATGAGAAAATGTAATAGTTCCTGATGGATTTTACAGAAAATGCACCTTTTGTATGTTAATATTTTGTATCAAGTAAAATAAAAGTGTAAATTTGTGTGGGATTCCATAGAGAAGAGTATTCTGTCAGGGTTTAGACAAAAGGGGTGATTGGTTATAAGACCCATAGCTTAACTCAAGGGGTTTTGATGACTGGTCAGCTGGCTGTTGGGCCTGTAATTTAAGGGGATGTTTATACTGCAATTTAAAAAGAAATGGTTACTTACCTCGTAACTGTTGTTTTTTCCCTTAGCAGTACCCCTTGGGCCAGCCAGGGAGCCCCCTGGAATGGCACAGACACATTGGTGCATATATACCCATGCTGGCCCCTCACCCCTCAGTTCCTTCTTGCCAGAGTCTTCTGACGAAGGGGAGGTGGGTGGGATGTGGAATGGACGCGAGCAACACATCTCAAAGAACAAGTTACAAGGTAAGCAACCGTTTTTTCTTCGAGTGCTTGCTCATGTCTGTTCCAATTAGGTGACTCCTTAGCAGTGTCCTAGGAGGTGGTGTTGGAAACTAACGCTATCTACAAGTTAACCGACTGCAGCACAGCCCTGCCAATAGTAGCATCTGCCCAGGCCTGCCGCGTAATTGCATAGTGCTCTGAGAAAGTATGCACAGAGGACCACGTGGCAGCCCTACATGTGTCAAGGATAGGTACTTGCGCTGGGAACGCCATGGACGTCGCCTGTGCCGTCAGTGGAGGTGCCGGTCTACTCGTGCTGTCATAGTGCTCCTTAATGCAGGAGGACAGGCATTGGCCTCTTCATCCTCTCCACTATCAAAATAAAAAGTTGGAGATTTACATAACTCTTTTGTCCTTTCTCTATAGAACGCTAGGGCCCTTCTAACATCCAAGCAATGTAGGGCCTGTTCCCTGGTCGAGGCATGAGGGTTTGGGAAGAACACCAGTAAGTAAATGTCTTGTGACATGTGAAATTGAGAGACCACCTTAGGGAGCAATGCCAGGTGAGAATGCATTCTCACCTTGTCCTTAAAAAAAATCATGTAAGGGGGCTCTGAAGTGAGGGCCCTCAATTCCGAGACCCTCCTGGCCGAAGTGACTCATCAAGAATGTCACCTTCCACCACAAGTGCTCCAGACAGCAGGTGGCTAAAGACTCAAAGGGTGCCCTCATGAGACCTGTCAAGACCAAATTGAGATCCCAGAAACAACCTGTCTACCCCTTTCATGACACCCGTGACCTTCTCCAGGGTGAAAAGCCACAGTTTCTGCTAAATGCACTTTCAGTGAGGATGTATCAAGGCCTCGATGTCTAAAATATAATAATCTAAGATTAGGGGATTGTAGCACACATCAGGTTTACCCCCTTCTGCTCTGTCCATTGGACAAACCGTCCCCACTTGGCCTCGTACAATGCTCTGGTAGAGGGTTTTCTACTCTCTAGCAACACCTTCCATGCCTCCTATGAGCAAAGTTGCTCTAGCCCTGTCTTCCAGGCCACTAGGTTTGGGTGGCACAGCCTCCCTCCTCCCCAATCCTGGGTGATCAGGTCTGGGACTAGCAGCAGTCTCACCAGGTCCTCCACTGCTAACTTTAATAGGATGGTAAACCAAAGTTGGTGACATCCTGGGGCACCTTTGAGGCCACATGCCCCTCCTTTGGGCGTACCTTGTGGCTGCGCCTTTCCGGGGCTCTCCCCCTGGTGTCCTTGGTTCTTCTCAGTGCCAGGACTGAGACCGGTGCAATCAATTTGAGCCTCTAGTCCCTGTCTTTTTAGTTCTTGGTTTAAAACTCTTGCAGATGTTGCAGCTTTCTGTATGATGGGCCTCCCCAAGACACTTCAAACAGGAGTCATGCAGATCCCTGCAGGGCATAAGCTTCAAGCTTGATGCACACTACTTGAAATCCTGCCGCCCTGGCATCCCCTTCCCAACCAGAGAGAGGCCTGAGGGGAGAAGCCCTTCCTTCTTATCTAAAACTATTTACAGAAACTAATGAGGTACTGAGTAACTGAAAAACACGACAGGTAAAGATCTAAAGAACTACATACAGACTAAATCAGCAAGAAGGAACTGAGGAGGTGAGGGGCCAGCAGAGGTATGTATGCACTGATATGCCGGTGCCACTCCAGGGGGCTCCCTGGCCGTACTGTTAAGGGAAAAAGCTCTGGAATCCAGCATGCAGTACCCGCACTTAATTGGAATGGACATGAGCAAGCACTTCAAGAACCACCCTGTGGCTCAGGTCAGCCTGGGTTTGTGAGGCTCCTGCTAAGGGGCTGCTTACTTACAGTTAAACAGGCTGTAGCCCAAGCCTACAGGTCTGCACTGCAACAGCCCCTTAGTCTGAGCCCTGCAGCTCAGGCAGCTGCAGATTTTTAATTGCAGTGGACACATAGCAAGCTCCCATCCCCGTAGTGTAGGAAAGAACGGGGATTGGAAGAAATGAGTCCCATCTCGCAGTCTTCTGGAGCGAAGAACTTGGCAGGTAGGACATTACAATAAAGGCAAGTGCGGTGAGGGTGGGAGACTGGCAGAAGGGAAGTCACATTTTGATATCAACAGTTAATGAAACTTATTACATTAAAAGGTAAAGTAAATTTGGCAATTTTTTCCTAACCACTTCCCCAAACCTGTGTGGCTTATTCTGAACCAACCTGAGCCCATTTATGCCCCATGCTTGCCAATGAAGGTGAGGTCATGGGAGCATGCATACAGTTTTGTCTGTTTCTGAGGAAACTTCATCGCTGCTAGTCCTACTTATGAACAGTATGCTTCTGACATCTGGCTCTATCCGTAGCTGGTGGGAAAGAGGGAACTGAGTTTTTCCCCTTCTCTGATGAAGCGTTCAGGGGTATGTTCAGATTTTTCCTTGAAATATTTCTCTTCAGAAGCTTTTACTTATTAAAAGGAATTTTGGCAGGAGTCTCTCGGGGAAGGGAGAGAGAGAGATCTTTAATACAATTTTTGTAATTTAGGGAACTTTCCTTTTACTCAGATTGCTGGTGGATGAATTTGTTTTTCTAAAGTTTCATTTCTTCAGAGAATAAACTGGACAGAAACATTAAGCTGAACTGGAAAAAGTAAAATCTGCAGAAAAAAATTAACACTAATTTGAGAGCAGTAAGGAAAAATGGTTGTTAGAGCTTTAATTAAAGATAACAGGTGAAAAGTCTCTCTCCTTCTGAAGTCAATGGGAGTTTTGCCACTGTCAGTGTAGTGAAGCCATGATTTTCCCCCACTGAATTATGCTAAAATTTCTAATGTATTAGGTTTTCCTGGAGTAAATGAGGTGCAGCAGTGCTTCCATAATTAAGGATTTTGTTGAGATTTCACTTAAGCAGGATTTAAAATCCCTTGGTTTCACATTCTTAATTTGGTTTCCACATCTGGCACAATTGCTGTTCATGGCCAACTGATTTTTGTAGTCACTTTCTGGATGAAATACTTGTTTACTCCTTTGAATAAATATTACAAAATCATTTTTAAGAAGTCCCTTTGCTTCCCCTTTTTCCTCACTGAAGTAATTCTATGAATTGAACAAGACTTCAGATTACTTCTATTTGCATAATGTATAATGTGAGTGTGTACTGCACAACATCTTTTCTAAAGTAAAAATATGAAAGTCATACCTTTTCAGTTTATGGAGAGAAACCAGTGCCTTGACAAGTATCAGAAGTAGCTGTGTTACTCTGTATCTGCAAAAACAAGTCCTGTGCTACCCAGACGAACAGATTTATTTGGGCATAAGCTTCTGTGGGCAAAGACCCTGTTTTGGATGCAGAGAGTGGAAACTTCTAATGGTGGAGAGTCCACAGCCTCACTTCTTGTTTGTTCCAGTGCTTAAACTACTCTGATAGGAAGTTCTTCCTAATACTCAACCTAAATCACTCTTGCTGCAATTTAAGCCCATTGCTTACAATTTATCACTGTACTCTTTATAACCATGTTTTATGCACTTGAGAGAATTATACGTCCCCCCTCAGCCTTCTCTTCTCAAGACTAAACAAACCCAGTTTTCTCAATCTTTCCTCATAGGTCACATTTTCTAGCCCTTTAATCATTGTTCTTGTTCTCCTCAATTCTCTCTCCAATTTGTCCATATCTTTCCTGAAATGTGGTGTCCAGAATAGAACACAATATACCAGTTGAGGCCTTATCACAAGGGTGGGCAAATAGTGGCCTGCAGGCCGGATCTGGTTTTCCAGGGTTAGCTCTAGCGTACCTGTCACCTTTGCAGGTACGGGCGCTTCCAGCTCCTGTTGGCCACGGACCGCTGTTCCTGGCCAATGGGAGCTGCGGGAAGTGGCGCCAACCAGGACATAGGAGGAGAGATTAAAAAGACTTGGACTCTTCAGTTGGGAAAAAGACAAGAGGAACAAGACAGAGGTCTATAACATCACAGCCGGGGTGGAGAAAAATAAGGAAACGTTATTCACCCCTGCACATCACACAAGAACAAGGGTCATCCAATGAAATTAATAGGCAACATGTTAAAAACAAACTAAAAGAAGTACTTTACACAACACCCCGTCAACCTGTGCAACTCATTGGTAGGGTTGTTGAGAAGGCCAGAAGTAAAAATGAGTTGATTAAAGGGTTAGACAGATTCATCAATGGCTATGAGCCAAGATAGTCAGGTACAGAACTCCATGGTCTGGGTGCCCCATACCCTCTCACTAACAGATGCTGGGACAGAATGACAGAGGATAGATCACTTGACATGTTGCCCTGTTCTGTTCATTCCCTCTGAACCATCTGGCATCCGCTACTGTCAGAAGAGAGGACACTGGGCTAGATGGACCATGGTTTGACGCAGTCAGGCAGTTCTTAAGTGACCAGAAAACTGTGGGTGGAAAAGTTACAATCAATGATAAAAGATTAACCCATTTACATTTTGTATCCAGTCTTTTGTTGGGATAGAGGTTAGAATTGAAGAATTAGGGTTATCTCCACAGGGTTCAAATGGGAACTCTGCCTGATTCAGGGAACATCCAGGATGAATCAAATCTGAATGGGAAACACCCTGTGTATGCTTGTTATTTGAAAGATTCAGTTATTCTACAGGCACTGTTAGTAACTATTCCTTTTAAGGTGTTGGGAAGTAGCAATATATTCCCCTGAAGATGTCAGCGTGAAGCTTCCCAACTATTAACACTTCCTACAAAATCTTTTGTAATGAAAACAGTTGTGTTAATGAGCAGCCTATTTGTACTTACAGTAATAAAAAGACGGACAATAGATTTAAAAAACATATTTCAACTGTATTTTAACCACACTCT